TAACATTGTTGGAATCGTTGATACGTCGAGATGTAGCCATAACAGAAAATGAAGATTAATGGATAGAAATGAACCTAAACAAAGGACGGAATTCAAGAAAACAATCATACACACCAATGAAATACTCACTTCACAGGTGGTTAATCAAGAGCCTTGTACCAGTGACGCCAAGAAACCAAATAACACGATGAAGATTAATGGATAGAAATGAACCTAAACAAAGGACGGAATTCAAGAACACAATCATACACACCAATGAAATACTCACTTCACAGATGGATAATCAAGTGTGTTGCACTAGTGACGCCAGAAAAATGAAATGATGCGATGAATAATGATTGCAGGAAGACACAAGAGGAAGATAAATGAATAAAAATCAACCTAAACAACTCAGAAAAAATTACAAAAAAATGTATGTTTGAATCTGTTTTTATTACATCGCATGTTTTTGCTAGATTTTAAGTGCAGGTTTTTAAAAAACTAAAAGGCAGTTTTTCTATGTAGCGATGCATTAGAGACGGTAGAAAATGCAATTTTTTGAGTCTATGTTTTCTTTATCAAATGCAGGGGTTGTTTTCAAAACATTTTTCTATTCATTTACGAATATTACTTGTTTTATCATATCTACATAGTTGCATTTTATATTTCTAACTAAGTATTTGTTAAAAATTCTAAACATATTAGCATTATAGATATAAATATATATCCAGTTAGTGAGTTAGCTGAACTATTGTGCACATAAAACGTTCCTTATTAGAAGCTTAAACTGTTATTCGATTTTAATGGAGCATTTGGGTTTCTCAGATTTGTTTCACCTTTCGGTGCACGAACAATAATATACCTGCGTTAATATGTACAGAAATGTACAATAAAATAGCGTAAATATGATGAGCGAAGAAAAACGGATAAACGAATAAAAATAATTGAAAGAGAAAATGAAAACGAAATCTTGTCTAGCCTCTTAAAATACTCGTCTAACTAGTCAGCAGAATCACAACAGAATGATCAGAGAAAACAAATTCTTATAAGCTGATCTTGGCAGTGATGGTGACAAACATCTTAGGATGAGCTTGCTGCACACTTTATATGTCAACTTCGTGTATGATCGGGGGTTTCAAAACAAAGACTATACCAGAAAACTTATGTGAATTGGGTCAGAAACATGATATTTCAAATGATAACATGACTTTACCACAAATTAATTCTAATCCCATAGTGACAATGAACAGTTTTAATGAAATCAAATCCATAGTTCGATTCAATTCAAACAGACGACGTGCCATTTGATGACAAATGTTTCACATCAATTTCATAAATTCAAATATATTAGTTACTACCAAATTCAGGAAAAACATGATTATGTTCTTGCGATTCGTCGAGTACTTCAATATAACGTAATAGTTAGAAAAAAAAAATCCAATTTTCACATCAAGCATTTTTCATAGATCAGTGTTTTATACCGAACTGGCTCTAACTACTGACCAGCCATACTTTCCTGTACAGTTGATCAGATCCCACCGGCAAATGAAGCTATTCATTTTCATGTATATCAGCCAACACCAATAGTTTACAAAATTTACGGGGAGCGATTATATTCTTTCAAAAGATATTGTTAATTCGACACCAGCAGAACAGAAAAAGAAAATTTGTTTTTACAGAATTTTACTAATACAGATACCACGAATATCTTCGTCCTACTCAACTCCATTTTCTTGATTCTAACTCTAATCGATAATAAGCGATAAAAAAAGAAAAAGAAGAAATCAATAAATACTTACAAAGACAGTCCTATAGGATACAAAGTATCAAAATCTAGAAATAAAAATAAACAAGTGATCAAAGAGATAATAACAACATCATATGTTAAGTGATGCCAGTGACATTGAAACAATACGCTAAAGAAAAACAGGATAAATGCTCAGCATAAAACATCTCTAATCCCCATGCAACATCCGTTAGCCAAAATAAATGTATAGACCGAATGGAAAGTACACTACTCTGCATACCACACCCTCCATTTGAAGCACCTAGAGGCATATTCACGAAAAATCAGAACAATCAACATGTGTCGCGTCCTTCCTAAACATAAACATCTGATATAAAGGCACAACGAAGACATACTTTCCACTGCATTCGTAAAGCACTTTCATTCTTTCACCAACAAAATATGCCATAACGGACCAATTCTGGTCTGATGATCAACTCCGGCTATATTTTACATAAAACTTCCGACTATCAGGGACGGCTGCGCAGAACAATAACCTTTACCTAAGCCCATAAACAAACAATTGTAATTGATTCACATATGACGAGCAAAAAGCGATACAAACTAAATTGAATTTAGTGAAGATGTTCTATTTCGTTGTGTTTATGTTCTTTTATTTTGTGTCTTCTTTTACATTTATTGTCTTGTTTTACGTTTTTTCTTGAAGTTCTTTCGTTGTACTATCTGATGATGATCACATAGTTGGTCGAAAGCTCATATGATAAAAAATAAAACAATATAATTAAGAACTCTGCAACACTAGCTGCATTAAATCTACATTACTTACAAACGTATTTACATATGCCCATACATAGAAGATTGTCTTGAATTTACAATGATAAATATTTAAAAGAACCCAAATCTAAAACCATATTTAGGATATCTATACTTTGTATTTGTATCCATAACGAATATTTAATTTCCATACATGAAAATACGTATATTAAATCAAAAAGTAAAAAGATTTTTGTTATTAATTTTAATAATAAACAACAATCAAATAAAATGACACAAATAAAAAGAAAAAGTTAGTAATAATCTGTGATGATGTCAAAAAAGTCATACTTATCGTAGATAATATGTTACATAGTCTATCACCACAGAAGAAATGTGATTACTAATATAAAACATTACAATAATTGTGGTGTAGTTTTAGTAAAATGCTTGTATTGATACTAACATTATTAATTTCATAAATTCAGATGAAACATCTACTTTATAAACTCTAGATTATCCATAGTAAGAAGGTCAAACAAATATATGGTGTTTGAATGCCTTCGAATTCCATATGAATAGGTTGAAATTGATTATTTATTGATGTCGACGTACGAAAGAAAATTCTATCATACGTTGAAGTATCATTATTACTAGTTATATTTGAATTTAATTTAGGATCACATGTATATGTTGTTTCAGTTTGTTGATCTGTCGGTTGTTATAAATTATCAAGATTAAGTGTATAATGATGAAACACATGTTATAACTAATGTAAATGCAAATGTTTCAACTTGTTGTAAAAGAATAACATTAGATTTTTTCTCTATTATTATTGATAAATTAAAATTTTATCTATTTTAACTATCAAAGTAATATTTCAATCATGGTTTCTTTTTGTTCATGTATAAATCATTTAATTCAAATTCATCACTATTTGTTTGTACTTTGTAACTATTATTGCTTTAGCATGTTTCTTAGCTTCATCAATATTCTATCCAATGCAATTCTAACTTTTTATTTTGGCGCTCATCACTGATGATTTGAGGATTATCTAATGAAATCAATGTTATAGTTGTTCTTCGTCTTTATGTTTACTGAAAAAGTAACATATAAAACATACTTTTCGAATAACCTCGAAATAACATCATTATTGAACGAATATTTATACAAATCAATATGAAAAATTCTTGGCATTGTACACTGTATATTAAAATACTTATGTTTGAAATAACTATAGTAAGGAAAAAAGATAATTTCATAATGAGACAATACTCTATTCTATTGAGAACTTCAAATTTCTTTATTATATTAATCTCTTTTCTAATTTATATGATTATGTTTCTTCCGTAATGAATAAACTGAAGAGAGAATAATTATAAAACATAGTTTCTCTAACGATTACAAGTATTAATACGAGTTCTAATCAATACAATCTTATACATTTCAAATGAATAATATTCTAAACATTTTTCATTTTAAAACGAAATAGGTGTATATTCAGCTCTATTCCTTTTTTCTAAGGAATTTAAAAGAAACATATACTATCTTCGCTTGTTTTTAAATAAAAATAAATATTCACTCTCATCATTGTAGGAATCAGAGAAAACTCTACAAATTTTAAGACCTATGTCACAGAAACAATAGAATTTATAATAGACACATAATTTAAGTTGTATTTTTTTTATTTAGAAGCGATTTCTAATTATCATTTGCATGCAGAAATTTTAACAAATCATTTGATTATTTCATTAATAAATATATCAATAATCTTGTCACATATTATATTTAAATAAAACGAAAAGTATTCTGAAATCAAATGATTACTATTAATCTTTTATATTTTTTTTTACTCTCATTTCACTTTACATATTTTTGATATCTTTTTCTCATTGAGATCAATCATCGCTTGTTTGACTTCCTATTGAGTGCACGACATACGAATTGTTCTTACACATTTGAGATGAAAAAAGAAACGAATCGAATATGAAATGTTTTAAGACCATAAAGATATCGTGCCTTACATTTCACTGCAGTTATCATACACCGGTTGTTCTCGTACGCTGCGTATTATAATTCCGTCGACGTCGTTTATCATCGCGTCTTTCCGTCTTCATATCTTTTCTTCTCGTTCTTCATAACAGAAGAACAATTCAATTTCTCAACTAATGGAGCTTTCGAGGGTGGCTCTAAAACAAATGAACTTTCCCAGGGATATCCGACGTTCTGTTGGTGACTCGTGCAGGCGTGCTCATGGTAGGCCTTCACGAACATACATCTATGGATGTATGACTAGAAGCGTCCATCTTGTCATCATCTTTTCGGAGATGATGACTATGGATGTACTACTCATACATTCATAGATGTATGTTTGCCTAACCATTGCCGGCTTTGTCCACTGTACGAGTCAATGGAATACCGAGGGTATCCCTGGTCGCGCGTGCGCGAGAATGTTGCACCTGCTTCGGTGGGCTTTCAAGAAAAGGCTATTTATTTTCTCTTTTTGCAAAAATTAAAAAAATTACATTTTCTTTTTAACATTTTCAATGTTTCTTTTCACTAGAGCAATATGTGGATGTGTTGAAGGAAGTGAATTTTTCCATATCTCTTGAGCTTTTTCATAATATTTAAGTGCTTTTGAGTGCTCGCCCATGTTATAATATACCATACCGATGTTGTTGTAGGAAGCAGCCAAGGAGGGATGATTCGGAGGGAGAGCTATTTTACGAATTTCAAATGATCGTTCATACGATGAAAGTGCTTTTGAGTATTCGCCCATGTTATAATACATATTACCGATGTTGTTGTAGGAAGAAGCCAAGGAGGGATGATTCGGAGGGAGAGCTATTTTCTTGATTTCAAGTGATCGTTCGTACGATGAAAGTGCTTTCGAGTACTCGCCCATCTGAGAATACACGTTACCGATGTTGTTGTAGGAAGCAGCCAAGTCGGGATGATTCGGAGGGAGAGTTATTTTTTGGATTTCAAGTGCTCGTTCGTACGATGAAAGTGCTTTCGAGTACTCGCCCATGTTATCATACACCAGACCGATGTTGCCGTAGGAAGCAGCCAAGTCGGGATGATTCGGAGGAAGAGTTATTTTCTTGATTTCAAGTGCTCGTTCATGCGATGAAAGTGCTTTCGAGTACTCGCCCATCTGAGAATACACGTTACCGATGTTGTTGTAGGAAGCAGCCAAGTCGGGATGATTCGGAGGGAGAGCTATTTTTTGGATTTCAAGTGCTCGTTCGTACGATGAAAGTGCTTTTGAGTACTCGCCCATCTTGTCATACACCACACCGATG